TGTATTTCTCAGCTCCACTAGCATAGCAGTTGGGCACAACAATATTTAACATCAAGCAAACTACTGTGGAGTGACTCAGATCAATAGAATGAGCATCAATAAAAATATAAAATGATAGCAGAAGATAGAGACAAAGAGGAATTCCGGGGAGAGGGAGAATCTGGACCGTAAAATGAATGCCCAGATGAAAATCACTGTGTGCATGGAGCTGGCTAACTCTAAACAGCCACCCAGCCTGGGGGCAAAGCCACTGTCCTATTCTGTGAAACCGGCACGTTGTTCTGCTTCTCAATTAACTTGTTTACCATATCTCCTTCATGGATTGTCTGGGTTTTTGTTTTTCTTTAATCTAGAAAGCCATTTTCTTAAATTATGTACCTTGGTTAACACTGGAATATAAATACATTGTGTCTATAGTAAACTTTGAGACAATTAGAAAAAAATCGATGGACTCAGATGAGCCATGGTTCAGCTAAGTGACTATTCAAAATTGATGGGTTATTTTTATCCTGGTTTTCCATGAGTACATATTTTTTTACTTTCCTGGGTGACCTCTGACAGTTTTTGAATAACATCCATTTAGGACAAACTGCCTTTGAATAAGCCCAGAGGACCTTGAACTGTTTCCCATCTGGCTAGGGAAACTGTGGCTACCAGGGAAACCAGGAAGCTTCCCTAGTAGTCTGCAGCCAACTGGACTCATCCCAAAGACACCTTGACCAGCCAGAAATAACAGACAAGAGGTCCACGTGAGGGTGACTCGCAGCCCCAACAAGCCCTCCCAGTAACAATCAATGTTTCAAACAATCAATTCATCAAAAATATATTTTTATTAGCTCTTTATAAAATTATAGCAGTTTATACGGCATGGGCCAGTTTTAACAGCTTATGAGAATTTTACTCAGCACTTTATTTAGACTGTGGCTTTGCTACAACCGCTTTCCCACAGCTATCCTAAAGGCATACTGCCATATTATTTTGGAGCTAGAGGGAAAGTCATCCCCTGAATTCCTTGAAGAAAACCATTTATAGCATGACCATAATGAATTTCCCTAAAATTCACTGAGCTAGAAGGGCATCTTGTTTTCAAGTTATCCCAAGCTCCCACAGGCCCTGGTTACGGAAGCCCTCACCCCATCCCTTTTTTTAAAACCAACATCACATACCTAAATTTAAATTTCCAACATATTCATTGACCTCAATAAATTCTTAAAATATTTTTACAAATTAAACTATCAGGAAGAACTTCTAAAAAGGAAAAGAAAGATAAATAGCTAGTGAAGTGGCAGGTGCTTGGCATGGAGGAAAAAAAATACCAATTACAGTCCATCATTCTTGGATGATAGAAATGAGTCATTTAAGGAATTCTCCCAAAGGAGAGTCCTACAATATGAACCTGTGTGTGATGCTGCAAAAATGCATTATGATTTGTCCTGCCTTGAAGGTGCTGGGACTAACATTCCCTACCAATGCTTTTCCTTCAAGGGGGGTTATACTGCTTAAATAAAAAGCAGAAACACAAAGTTGATGATGGAAAGGTAGGGATTTTATGAGATTTAACATTCTAAATGTGTAGAACAAGTGGCCATGCACATGTGTTTTAGATAAATGTCACCTATTACCCAAACCCTAACTTACAAACTTACAAACATTTTATTGTCAGAATGGCATATGTCATATATATATCCCAAAAGACCTAATGCTGATGTTTATCTACAAAAAGATAGGCCCAATCTATGAGTTGATGAACAATATTAGGTATGACAATTAATAATTATAGTGAATGTGAAAAGTTGAACAAATGAAATGCACAAATATAGAAAGCAATAATTAAAATGTTACAGAGAGAGGGGAGGCTTTCACATGCAGAAGTCACTGTGAGGACGAAAACAGAAAAGAATGAAAGGAAATTTACAGAAAGTCTAACGAATGAGGTACAAAACATGTGAAACTTGGCATGCAGTCCACTGAGAAAGAGAAGCAAAAGCAAGTTGGAAGCAAAAAAAGGTTTAGCCCAAAGAAGACTGTGCAAGAAAACATAATACTGCTAATTTAATGCAGAAAGATATGCATCTCATCATTTTTGTATCATAATAAGAATACATACAAAACCAAACGCTAGCCTGGCATACTGTTTTACTTTTGCTGACAACATAAATGACGTAGCCAGTAAGATCTAAAATGTAATTATTGTAAGACCTCAAACAGTTCATAGTTAAGATAAATTCAAAGCAGAAATGATGTGTTTGGAGACAAAAAATAAGTATTTAATGGAAAGACATTGGCAATATAAATTAGAGCAGGAATTTAGAGAAGAGTTTTGTTAAGATCCACAGCTAACTTGATATTAGCAGTTAAAATTAAGTAACAAGAGTCAGTGGATCATCAAGAAAAATGAACTATAAATCAAAAGGCATTCAAATAGCAAGGGTCACTAATTCAGTTGCAGTTACAGTGTGTCACACACAGCAGAATGGAAATATGGTTTATGCAGAGGTGGTAGAACAATGTCTATTTAGTCCGTGCCAACAAGGAATTGCAGGTATACACAATGTAAAAGGGGAAAAAAATCTTACTTTTGAGTATGTGAAGTTAACTCACTATTTTAAAAATATTCTCTCTAGCCCCACCCAGTTTGGCTCAGTGGATAGAGCATCAGCCTGTGGACTGAAGGGTCCCAGGTTCGATTCCAGTCAAGGGCACATGCCCAGGTTTCACGCTCGATCCCCAGTAGAGGGCATGCAGGTGGCGGCCGATCATCAATGATTCACTCTCATCATTGATGTTTCTATCTCTCCCTCTCCCTTCTCTCTTTAATCGATAAAAACAAAAAATTCTCTCAGTTATTTTGTGCATACAGGACATGGCAAAAGTAGGTTTACAGTTGTGAGTACACAAAACACAGAATTTATTCTTGTATTATTTTTTATTAATTATTGTATTATTTTCCATATGAACAGTAAACCTTTTACCTCATTCTATATATTCAATAGTCCTTCATGAATAATTAACCCACTTAAAGAAATCATGTGAATATACACTCATTCCAAAATGAGATGAAGAATATTATTTACATTTTATATAGAGTGGCTTTAACTATGTACTTTGATAATTTTGCATTGTTCTTCTCAATTACTTCAAAGACCCTCGCTTACTATTACAGATCTTTTATCAATGGAAAAACAATGTGCTTAAGTCTTCTTAAAATAAAACTATTAAGAAAGAAATTTAAATGTAATGCTGACAGGTTGTAATGTAAAAGATGTGAATCAGCCCTGGCCAGTGTGGCTTAGTTGGTTGGAGAATCGTCCTATACATCAAAAGGTGGAGGGTTCAATTCCCAGTCAGGGTACATACACCCAGGTTGTGGGTTTGATCCTCCGTTGGGGCAAGTGTGGGAGGCAGCCAATTGATATTCCTCTCTCACATCAATGTTTCTCCCCCGCCCCCTTTCTCTCTCAAATCAAATAAAAGAAAAATAAGTAAATAAAACATGTGAATCGTTTTGTGACTAATTTTTTTTTTTTTTTGAGAGAGAGAGAGTGTAAGGGAAAGGGAGAGACACACAGAGAGAAACATCAGTGTGAGAGAACATATTGATTGGATGCCTCCCTGAAACCAAGGCACGTGCCCTGGACAGAATCAAACTGCTAGGCAGGTGCCCCTGACTGGAATCGAACCCGAGATCCTTCAGTTGCAGGCCAACACTCTAACCACTCAGAAAACTGGCTAGGACCTTGTAGATTAATTCTAATAAATGTCCCTGAAGACTTGCCTGTAAGGTAACTTCTGTATTCTAAGTCTCATGCCATAGAAAAGTGTCCCTATAGAAAAAAAAACTGGATAATAAGTCATGCCTAAGACTGTAGAAACCTTTAAAATTGTATTTTCTCTACCTATATATATAAAAGCCTAAGCGACCAGTTGACCACTTGATCACTCAACTGCTCGACCACTCAACCGGTCAACTGGTCACTATGATGCACACTGACCAACCACCAGGGGGCAGATGCTCAACACAGGAGCTGCCCCCTGGTGGTCAGTGCACTCCCACAGCGGGAGCACCACTCAGCCAGAAGCCGGGCTCACGGCTGGTGAGCACAGCTGCGGTGGCGCAAGCCTCTCCCACCTCCACGGCAGCACTACCAAGTGGCGGCAGCAGGCACAGTGGGGCCGGGATGAGCGGGAGTGGCGCAGCACCTGGCCCCGGCTCGGGCTCCTCCCCAGCCACCTGCCGCTTCACACACTGCTACATCCCTCAGGGGATGTCAGACTACCGGTTTCGGCCCAATCCCCACAGTCCAACATCCCCCGAGGGGGCCCAAATTGCAAAAGGGTGTAGGCCAGATTGAGGGACCCCATCAGTGCACAAATCCGTGCACCAGGCCTCTAGTAATATATAAAGCTTAATGTAAAAAAACAAAATAAACAAATAACAGTAAATATAGTGATTATTTTGATATTTAGGGTTTTTCTAATGGCATAAAGAAATAACACAATGCTTTAGTCCTGCGTCTATCCAATAATTCTTTCATAAGAATTTATAATGAAAGTAATTTATAAATAATTTAGAGCTTTCTTTGATTAATCAGATCCTGTTTTTTTATGGAGTTTATACGCCTTGAGAAGAGAACAGGCTCATATGAACTAAAAAGATGAAGGAGATAAATTTGCAATGGTTCAAAATTCAGCAGTATTGTATGAGCAACTTGAGAAGCAGAGTTATCAGAATGTATAAAACAGTAAATGATAACAGGGAGTGTATATAACGAATCGAATAGCTAAAGAGACTCACAAGCATAGTCACGGGCTCTCTGGCACTGATCCACTACATTTCCCTTCACAGGGTTTTGTGGACACCGACTGACTTTCATCCAGATTCTACCACCTTTTGGGCCTTCTCCCTCCCATCCCCTATTGACTATTTAAGTTACTATGTAAGTCTAATCCATGGGCAGCCTGAGCTTCATAAATTCACTTCATCCCAGAGAGACACCTACCGTTTTCACCGAGTCACTCAAAGCTTCCCACTGCTGGAATGACATCGCGATCTGGCTCCTTCGCCAGTGGTCATAGCGGGCTCGACTCTCTTCATTAGTCAGAATCTCCTTTGCCTTCTGCAATTTCTGAAAAGTCTCCACTGGAAAACAAATCAAAAGATAAGCACTACTCTCTTGGAGGGATTATTTAAAACTCCCAAACAGTCACTGCTACTTACTAGCTGTGTAACCTTGGACCAGTTTCAGCTTCTCACAATTAGTTTCCTCATTTGTAAAGTGTACCATAAGGACAAGTGAGATTATGTCTGTAAAGTGCCTGGCTCACAGTTTATCCACTCCCTTTACTGAGCTCCAGTAATGTGCCAGGTGCTGTTCCAGGTGCTGATGACACAGGTGTGAAAACAGACATGATCTATTCAGTGGGATAGCCATTTATAAACACTGGGAAAATTATAGTTTTTGTCTACGAGGAAGAAAACTACCTTTTCTTGTCTGGGAGGGTATGACCAAGCTAGAGGAACATTACAAATAAAAACACCTAAGTCATGGTAAGGTAGAGGAAGTAGGGAATGACAATGTGGCTGGGAGACACAGGGCCAGAAGAACAATGAGGGATAGGGCTGTAGAGTGCACAAAAGCACCCAGTATCCAGGACCTTACAGGTCATACTGAGGATTCTAGTCTGATTTTTTTGTTGCAAAAGCAATGGGAAGCTATTGGGAGGTTTTAAACACAGGAAATAACATGATAGATGGTTGATAATTGGTAGCTTTGTCGCTGATCTATTTGGCCAGATGGTATACAATGGAAACCATTCTTGGCCCAGTTGGAAACACTTCCAATGTCACTTCTGCTCCTCAGTAAAGTTAAACTTTCTATAGAGAAGGATAGAAGTTCAATATGTGAAAATCGATTGTTTCTATACATTAGTGATGAGCAATCTGAAAATTAAGAAAACAATTTCATTTACAGTAGCATCAAAAGTACACAATACTTGCCCAGCCAGCATGGCTCAGTGTCTGAGTGTCCACCTACAAACCAGGAAGTCACAGTTACCATTCCTGGACAGGGCACATGCCTGAATTGTGGCCTTGATCCCCAGTAGGGGGCATGCAGGAGGCAGCAGATCAATGATTCTCTCTCACCATTAATGTTTCTATCTCTCTCTCCTACTCCCTTCCACTCTGAAATCAATAAATATATATATTTTAAAAAGAACACAATACTGACCTAACTAGGTTGGCTCAGTGAATCAAGTGTCAGCCTGTGGACTTAAGGGTACCAGGTTAGATTCCTGTCAAGGGCATGTGCTCGGGTTGTGGGCTCATCCCCAGTAGGGGGCGTTCAGGAGGCAGCTGATCAGTAATTCCCTCTTATCATTGATGTTTCTATCTCTCCCTCTCCCTTCCTATCTGAAATCAATAAAAATGTATATTTTTTAAAAAATACAATACTTAGGAAAAATGCTAACAAAAGAAGTACAAGACTTACACACTGAAAATTATAAAACACTGCTGAAAGAAATTAAATCTCTAAATAAAGATATCATGTTCATAGATCAGAAGACCTAATATTGCAAAGATGCTAATACTCCCCAAACTAATCTACAAATTCCATACAATCTCTATCAATATACCCAGCTGGCTTTTTTTGTAAAAATTGACAAGCTGGTCCTAAAATCCATATGCAAATGCAAAGGACCCAGAATAACCAAAACAATCTTGAAAGATAAGAACAAAATTGGAAGAATTCACACTTCCTGATTTAAAACTTTCTACAAACCTCCAATAATGAAAGCAGTGTGGTACTGGCATAAGGATAAACATAAATCAATGAAATATTGAGAGTCCAGAAGTAAATCCTCACATTTACAGTCAACTGGATTTCTATACGATTACCAAGACAATTCAATTGGGAAAAAATAGTCTTTTCAACAAATTGTGCTGGGACAACTGATATCCGCATATAAAAGAATGAAGTTGGCTCTCTGCTGGCGTGGCACAGTAGTTGAGCATCAACCCAGAAATCAAGTGGTCACCAGTTCAATTCCCAGTTAGGGCACCTGCCTGGGTTGCGGGCTTGATCCCCAGTAGAGGGGGGGTACAGGAGGCAGCCGACCAATGATTCTCTCTCTCATTATTGATGTTTCTCTCTCTCCCTCTCCCTTCTTCTCTGAAATCAATAAAAATATATTTTTTTAAAAAAAACACAGTGAAAAACAACAACAACATGGTGAGATACCACTTCTCACCACTAGAAAGGATAAAATAAAAAGATAAATACAAGTGTTAATGAGGATGTGGAGAAATTGGAAGCCTCATACATTAAAGATAAAACTGTACAATTGTATAACTACTTTGAAAAACTGTTTGGCAGTTCCTCAAAATGTTAAATATAGAGTTACCATATAGCCCAAGAATTTCAATGGTTAAGTACAGTCAGCCTTATGTATTCCAGGTTCAACATCCATGGATTAAACCAGCCATGACTTAAAAATATTCAGAAAAAAAAAGTTACACTGTTGCTCACATATACTATGTAATTAAGCCTACAATGGTTGCATCTGTACTGAACATGTACACACTTTTTCCTTGTTCTTATTCCCTGAACAATAAAGTAAAACAGCTATTTACGTAGCACTTACATTGTATTAGGTATTATAATAATAATAATTAGTGTATATGCAAATACTACCATTTTACATAACGGACTTTTGGTATCCATAGGGTCTCTGGAACCAATCCCTCATGTATACCAAGGGACAACTATATAAGCTCAATAAAACTGAAAAATATGTCCATACAAAAACTTGTATACTAGAATGCACAGCAGCATTATTCATACTAGCCCAAAAGCAAAAACAACTCAAAATTCAAAAATGTCTATCAATAGATAAATGGATAAATAAAATGTGGCATATCCACATAATGGAATTATCATTCATCCATAAAAAGAAATAAGTACTGATACATGCTATAACATGGATAAGCCTTAAAAACAGTATGCTAACCCAGCCAGCGTGGCTCAGTGGTTGAGCATCAACTTATGGATCAGGAGGTCACAGTTCAATTCCTGATCAGGGTATGTGCCCAGGTTGCAGGCTCAATGCCCACTAGGGGGCATGCAGGAGGCAGCCGATCAATGATTCTCATCATTCATGTTTCCATCTCTCCCTCTCCCTTCCTCTCTGAAATCAATAAAAATATATTTTAAAAAAATATTATGCCAAATGAAATAAACCAGGCACAAATACCCACATATTATATGATTCCATTTATATGAAATTCTCAGAATAGACAAATCTATAGACAGTTAAGTAGATTTGTGGTTGCCAGGGGCTGGGCCAGGGAAAATAAGAAGTGATCATTAATGAGTTTCTTTTTCTTTTTTTTTCTCACAATTATTATTATTATTACTTCCATTTTATAGCATCTAAGACTGAAGGGGGTTAATGTAACTTGCCCAAAATCCCAAAACTTCAAGTGATGGAGCCATGATTCAAACCCGAGCCTACTGGACTCCCCAGCTGGTAGTCTCCTTGACCGCCGTCCTGACTTTCCTACAATGCATGTTACCCTCTAATTCAGCGGTTCTCAACCTGTGGGTCGCAACCCCTTTGGGGGTCGAACGACTCTTTCACAGTGGTCGCCTAAGACCATCGGAAAACACATATATAATTACATATTGTTTTTGTGATTAATCGCTATGCTTTAATTATGTTCAATTTGTAACAATGAAATTGGGGGTCACCACAACATGAGGAACGTTTTAAAGGGTCGTGGCATTAGGAAGGTTGAGAACCACTGCTCTAATTCCTCCTTTCTTTCTCACTGCCAGGAATAGTAAACACTTCATCATTCATCAATAAGATCCAGGTTGTGCCCTTGAGGAGCTCAGAGTCGAGTAAGGAAGCAGATTTATAAACAAATCATTTCAATACGTGATAAACAGAAATAGAGAGGCAAGACAGATTCTGTGTGGAGAGGCAGGAAATATTTCATCCATTTCCTGTATACTTGGATTCATCCTTGACTCCTCTTTTTCTCACATTTCGCTTCTAATGCACTGGCAAACTTTACTGGCTCTGCCTTTCAAATATACCCAACATCTGACCTCTTGTCACCACCTCCACTGCCACTGCTCTGGCCAAAGCCATGGTTCTGCCTCAGCTGGATCATTATAGTAGCTTCTCAACTGATCCCCCTGCCTTTGCCTCAGTCTGTGTTCTACACAGCAGTTAAAGTGATCTTTTAAAAAATAAGTCACATACTATCACTCCTCTGCTCAAAATGACTTCCAGCAACTTCCTATTTCTCTTAGAATAAAGCTGAAAATTCTTACCATGGCTAGTAAGCTGACATGCTCTGCCTGCCCTGTCCTCTCTTCCCTCTGACCTCATTTCCTTCTACTTCTCCCCTTCTCCCCTTGCTATAGCCCTCGTAGCTTCCCTGCTGCTCCTTGACAGCACTTCAGCCTCAGGGCCTTGGCACTTGCTGTCCCCTGTCCTTTCTGCCAAGAACAGTGTTACCCCAGGCACTCACGTCACTGCCTTCAGATGTTGGCTCAGATGACCTCTTGTTGTCTTGCCAATGGGGTCTTCTTTGACCATGCCATCTAGATATGGCTGCTCGCCCCATCATCCTTTGCCTTATTTACTTTTCTTTTTTTTTTTAATATATATTTTATTGATTTTTTACAGAGAGGAAGGGAGAGGAATAGAGCGTTAGAAACATCAATGAGAGAGAAACATCGATCAGCTGCCTCCTGCACACTCCCTACTGGGGATGTGCCTGCAACCAAGGTACATGCCCTTGACCGGAATCGAACCTGGGACCTTTCAGTCTGCAGGCCGATGCTCTATCCACTGAGCCAAACTGGCTAGGGCTATTTACTTTTCTTTATCCTCTGACATTATCTAGTTATTTGTTTGTGATTTGGCTCCTCTGCCAGAATGCACCCACCGTGAGGACAGAGACTTTATCTCTTTTGTTCTCTGCTGCATCCCCTGTACTGCAACAGCATAGCAGGTGCTCAGAAGTATTTGCTCACTGAATGAATAAGTGAATGTCTCCTATTTTAAATGTGAACATAACAATAATCACACAGTGCTATTCCCTAAGCTCTAAGCACAAAGAAATCA